TGACGTTTCGCCTGCATCTATGGCAAGCATCCTCAGAGGTAGTGAGGTTGGAACTAGGAAAATGGGTTTATATATCTGTGGAATGACCAGGGTGAGACAAAGAACTCTTGTCTGCTGGAGCTAGGTGTGAATGTTTCAACTGACCACCTTGATTAGCATTTGATTGCCTGGCAGTGCCTGGACCAATCTTTGAGAACACAGAAATGTTGGATCACTCCAACAACCACCATGCCAGACTACACAGGGAAGCCACTGATATCCACAACCATGTGGACAATTTCAACAGAAAGGAGGAAACCGTGAAAATGAACAAAATCTGGCTACTAGTATTAAAAAACTCTAAAATTACAACAGCACAACAACAGAGAGGAAACAAACCAGGACATCTAATCACCTCTCAACAAAAGATTGCTCCAGGCACTGCCAAGCCATTATATGCTAATCAAGGTGGTCAGTTGAAACATTCACACCTAGGTCCAACAGACAATGGTTCTTTGCCCCACCCTGGTCATTCCACAGATATATAAACCCCTTTTTCCTAGTTCCAACAGACCCACTACCTCTGAGGATGCTTGCCATAGATGCAGGCAAAACGTCAGGAGAAAATGCCTTTAGAACATGGCCATATAGCTCGAAAAAACCTACAACAACCTGATGATATTAAACTTTGGTCACTTCCACTCTTTTGCCCTCTCCTCAGCCTGAAATGGGCCACAAAGTGGAAATGTGATCAAAACATGTGGGGAGTCCCTGAACCCACTTACCCCATTCCCCACATTTGGAAGTTTGGAGGGGTATCTCCTGTTTGATGCTAAAGAGAGACAGGAGGGGACTTCGGGACCACGTACCTGCCCTACTTCCCTACCCCGCTTTTCAGAAATCCTCTAGGAAAGTGATTTTCAACCACTGGTGTTCTAGCTATTTGGGACTGCGTCTCCCAGAAGCCCAGGTCAAGCCTGACTAGTGGTCAGGGACTATGGGAGCAGAAGTCCCAAACCCTCAGAGAACTACAGTCTGAGAACCAAGACTCCAGAATGGGCACATGGGTGCACCCCACCATAAACAAACATACACACAGGGGGGGCTGACCTGTCCCGAGTGCGGATACCCGCCTTCGTCTCCCTTTGGACGGAGACCTGCCAGCTGTTGCCGAAGGTGTTGAGGCTCCGGGTCCAGGTTCCGTCAGGCCTCATGTATTCGTTGTTCCGCCGTCCGTCATAATTGCCGCAGAGCCCACCCACGCTATTCTGATAGGTGCTGGGAAGAGTGATCTCTGCGTAGGAGAAAGAAAGAAAGAGATAGATCAATTGATTGATCAATCAATCGATAGATAGATGGATAAATACAAGCCCACCAACAGAGAATGCAGCCCCACTGGGACATTTTTAGGTACCAAGAGATAGTCCCGTAAGAGCCTCCATCGTCTCCAGAGTAGCTGAGAAGAACGGCTGTTTGGGGGTTTGATGATTGCCTCCTCCCTCCCTAAATAGGGCAGACCCCCTCCACACCCCTCTGACCCCCAAAAGTGTGAGACTTACCAGCAAAATCCCTGCCGTCGAAGGAGACCGCGAGCCCAAAGTCGGTCTGCAGGAGGATCCTCAGACCCCGCTGGGAGATCCGGAGCGTCCCGTCCGGAGTGGCAAAGGGGGGAGTGACCGCTAGGCCATTCACCTGTCAGGGAGGGGTATTCCCATGGTTATTTAGACCCCGCTTTCTCCTCTTATGCAAGACTCAAAGCGTCACATAGTCACTTTTTACACATTCACGCTGGAGCTTGACACATGAGGCCTTCAACCTGGGGCTTCTTTCACTGAAGCCTCACACACTGAGGCATACTAACTCTGAGGCCTACCTCACACTGAGGCTTACTAACACTGAGGTTTACCTCACACTGAGGCCTCTCTCAGACTGAGACCTCTCTTAGACTGAAGCCTCTTCATACTGAGGGCAACTAACACTGAGGTGTTCTAAGCAAGAGGAGACCGCGAGCCCAAAGTCGGTCTGCAGGAGGATCCTCAGGCCCCGCTGGGAGATCCGGAGAGTCCCGTCCGGAGTGGCAAAGGGGGGAGTGACCGCCAGGCCATTCACCTGCCAGGGAGGGGTATTCCCATGGTTATTTAGACCCCGCTTTCTCCTCTTATGCAAGACTCAAAGCTTCACATAGTCGATTTTACACATTCACGCTGGAGCTTGACACATGAGGCCTTCAACCTGGGGCTTCTTTCACTGAAGCCTCACACACTGAGGCATACTAACTCTGAGGCCTACCTCACACTGAGGCTTACTAACACTGAGGTTTACCTCACACTGAGGCCTCTCTCAGACTGAGACCTCTCTTAGACTGAAGCCTCTTCATACTGAGGGCAACTAACACTGAGGTGTTCTAAGCAAGAGGAGACCACGAGCTCAAAGTCAGTCTGCAAGAGAATCCTCAGCCCCCGCTGGGAGATCCGGAGCGCCCCGTCCGGAGTGGCAAAGGGGGGAGTGACCGCCAGGCCGTTCACCTGTCAGGGAGGGGTATTCCCATAGTTATTTAGACACCACTTTATCCTCTTATGCAAGACTTAAAGCTTCACATAGTCGCTTTTTGCACATTCACGCTGGAGCTTGACACATGAGGCCTTCAACCTGGGGCTTCTTTCACTGAAGCCTCACACATTGAGGCATACTAACTCTGAGGCCTACCTCACACTGAGGCTTACTAACACTGAGGTTTACCTCACACTGAGGCCTCTCTCAGACTGAGACCTCTCTTAGACTGAAGCCTCTTCATACTGAGGGCAACTAACACTGAGGTGTTCTAAGCAACAGGAGACCGCGAGCTCAAAGTCGGTCTGCAGGGGGATCCTCAGGCCCCGCTGGGAGATTCGGAGAGTCCCGTCCGGAGTGGCAAAGGGGGGAGTGACCGCTAGGCCGTTCACCTGCCAGGGAGGGGTATTCCCATGGTTATTTAGACCCCGCTTTCTCCTCTTATGCAAAACTCAAAGCTTCACATAGTCGCTTTTTACACATTCACGCTGGAGCTTGACACATGAGGCCTTCAACCTGGGGCTTCTTTCACTGAAGCCTCACACACTGAGGCATACTAACTCTGAGGCCTACCTCACACTGAGGCCTACTAACACTGACGTTTACCTCACACTGAGACCTCTCTCAGACTGAAGCCTTTTCATACTGAGGGCAACTAACACTGAGGTGTTCTAAGCAACAGGAGACCGCGAGCTCAAAGTCGGTCTGCAGGAGGATCCTCAGGCCCCGCTGGGAGATTCGGAGAGTCCCGTCCGGAGTGGCAAAGGGGGGAGTGACCGCTAGGCCGTTCACCTGCCAGGGAGGGGTATTCCCATGGTTATTTAGACCCCGCTTTCTCCTCTTATGCAAAACTCAAAGCTTCACATAGTCGCTTTTTACACATTCACGCTGGAGCTTGACACATGAGGCCTTCAACCTGGGGCTTCTTTCACTGAAGCCTCACACACTGAGGCATACTAACTCTGAGGCCTACCTCACACTGAGGCTTACTAACACTGAGGTTTACCTCACACTGAGGCCTCTCTCAGACTGAGACCTCTCTTAGACTGAAGCCTCTTCATACTGAGGGCAACTAACACTGAGGTGTTCTAAGCAAGAGGAGACCACGAGCTCAAAGTCAGTCTGCAAGAGAATCCTCAGCCCCCGCTGGGAGATCCGGAGCGCCCCGTCCGGAGTGGCAAAGGGGAGAATGACCGCCAGGCCGTTCACCTGCCAGGGAGGGTTATTCTCATGTTTATTTAGACCCCGCTTTCTCCTCTTATGCAAGGCTCACAACACTCAAAAAGATTAGATTTTTAAAAAGGCATGGGCAGAGTAAGCTCCCGACCATTTGTCTAGCTTGCTGTCGACCTTTGCAGCCCAAAATATAGTTGCATCAGTCAAATAGGAAATTTAGGTACCACTTTATGCGGGGGGCTAATTTAACTAGTTTATGATACCATAAAAATCTCCAGCAGCGTGCAAAAGAATGAGGAAATGCTCCATCAGTGTCACAAGTGGACGGCGAAGCAACAGCTCCCCCAGTGACCGGAATTCAAACTTACCCTCATGAAGCTGGAATGTTAAATAGTCTCTGTGTGTCTATCTATATATGTTGTGTGCCTGTGACATTGAATGTTTGCCATTATATGTGCATTGTAATCTTCCCTGAGTCCCCTGCGGGGTGAGATGGATGGAATATAAATACTGTAAATACATAAATACATAAATAAGGTGGGGCAGGTCCAAAAATAAGTTGCGAAACACTGGTCAAGTGAATGGGGAAAGGTTCCTCACTAAAAGACAGATCAAATCCACTGCCATTTCATTCCCCCCAAAGAGACCGGACGTTTCTCAACGGTGTGGGTTTCAGAATGAAAGGGTCTTTGAGTGAAATTAGCAATAGCTAAGCACGGGGCCTTGAATGAAATTAGCAACAAAAGAGAAATTTACCCCTTCTCTGTGGAAAAGGAGCAGAACGGAGGAAAATATTTTAAAAACAAGAGGTGACATGTAGAGGTCAAGCTTACATAGGAAGCTGGTTTGTGGTTAAGTCTGCAGGTGCAAGAAGGTACTTTCCGTCAAAAGGTCAAGGCAGGAGGGCTGGAAAGTGAGTACTTTCCATGACCAAAAAACCCTTGAATTCCTTGAGTATAAAGGTATGTAGAGGTCATACACAGTTCAAGCTTACATAGTAAGTTGGTTTGTGGTTAAGCGCAAAGTCTGCAGGTGCAAGAAGGTACTTTCCATCAAAAGGTCAAGGGAGGAGGGCTGGAAAGAGAGTACTTTCCATGACCAAAAAAACCCTTGTATTACTTGAGTATAAAGGTCAGCAAAAACAGAGGAGGGCGCGGCAGTCTGTGGAAGCACTTACAGAAGTGCTGTCTGTTCGCCTCATGCTGACCAGCTTGGATAAACGGTGTCTTGCCTGACCCTATTGGACTCTGTGGATTTCTTAGAAAAGGGACCCCGCACCTTAAACCCGTGATCCCTTACAAGAAGAGGCAGGGCTGTGTTTTGTCCTCCGGCGGGGTTCTGGGCGTATCGCTTACCACCAGTTTGCGCCGCTGCATGAAGGTGATGCTGTAGTTGTAGACAGAGACGTAGACCTCGCGCAGGAAGGAGAAGCGGTGGAAGGGGAAGCGGCGCCGGTTCCGCCCGGCCACCGAGAAAGGCACCAGCACCGATGGAAGGCCCGGGAGGGTCCGGCTCAAGGTGTAGGTGGATAGGCCCTGGAAGTGGTGCACAAAGCGGTCGAAGGTGCGGTAGTGGGGGTCACCGGAGATCACGCACTGGTGGAAGTCTGGACAAAAGAAGGAGGAGGAGGAAGGAGGTACAACTTAAGGAATTCATTCGGCCAGGCATGGTCCAACTTTGGCCCTCCTCCAGGTGTTTTGGACTTCAACTCCCACAATTCCTAACAGCCCGGCTGTTAGGAATTGTGGGAGTTGAAGTCCAAAACACCTGGAGGAGGGCCAAAGTTGGACCATGCCTGGCCGAATGAAAAAATGCAATCACATTAATTGGGGTTAGGGGTGCAAAAGTGCGGGGAAATAATAAAAAAAGCTTTATTTTGCTGAGAGATCTCTCTAGGAAGCTCTCGGTCCTCAACTTCCACTGCACTGTTGGAACTAAAGATCTCTAGAATGAACATTTTCAACCAAATATGCAAAAGCCAAACCCACAAAAGTGGAGGGAGTATTATTTTCTGCACAGGAGTATTTTTCTACACAGAAAATGCTGCCGTCGGAAACTTTTTCTGTGCCAAATCTGTTCGAAATATGTGTTGTCGAAGGCTTTCACGGCTGGAATCACTGGGTTGTTGTGGGTTTTCTGGCCATGTTCTAGAAGCATTCTCTCCTGACGTTTCGCCTGCATCTACGGCAAGCATCCTCAGAGGTTGTGAGGTCGGAATAGGCACGAAATATGTTTGCATAGAAGGCGACACAGGTGCAGTTTGATGAGGAGAGAGAGGGCAATTGGGGTCTTTGTGGTCTGGGACCCCTGCTTGTCTTTCTGGCCAATGGGAAGCCCTGCCCCAGACTGACCTCCAGGCTTGCAGAAGCGCTGCCCGGAGCTGCTGAGGGCGCAGGTGGACCCGGGGAGGCACTCGAAGGCTCGGCAGGAGATCTCCCCGCTCCCCAGGCAGGTGCAGTGCTCACGGCAGTTGAGGGTCACCCAGGTGTCTCCAGGCTGGAAAAGGAGGAGAGAGGCTTATCTATTAGGATCCACACATCACGCCTGCATCCCCTGACCCTTGATTTAATTGACTGGGTTGTGGTGCAACTGGTTGGGAGTCATCTGCATTAAAATCACTACTGACCGAAAGGTCATGAGTTCGAAGCCAGCCCAAGTCGGAGAAAGCTCCCGACCATTTATCTAGCTTGCTGTCGACTTTTGCAGCCCGAAAGACAGTTGCGTCTGTCAAGTAGAAAATTTAGGTACCGCTTATGAGGAGGAGGCTAATTTAAATAATTTACAATGCCATAAAAATCTCCAGCAGCGTGCAAAAGAATGAGGAAGAACTCCATCAGTGTCATGAGTGGATGGTAAAGCAACGGCTCCTCCGGTGGCTGGAATTTGAGCATACCCTCATGAAAGCTGGAAAGTTAAATAGCCTCTGTGTGTCTGTCTATATATGTTGTGTGTCTATGGTATTGAATGTTTGCCATGAACTTTAAGAACTTTAAGGTCGTCTGGGGAGGCCCTGATCTTGCTCCCGCCTTCGTCACAAGTCAGCAGGACTTAGATCAGTGTTTTTCAACCTTCCTAATGCTGTGACCCCTTAGTAGAGTTTCTCATGTTGTGGTGACCCCCAACCATAACATTATTTTTGTTGCTACTTCATAACTGTAATTTTGCTACTGTTATGAATCATAATGTAAATATCTGACATGCAGGATGTATTTTCAAATCCCAAATACCCGATATGCCCAAATTTGAATACTGGTGGGATGGGGGTGATTGATTTTGTCATTTGGGAATGTTGGAGTTGCTGGGATTTATAGTTCACCTAAAATCAAAGAGCCTTCTGAACTCCACCAATGATGGAATTGAATCAAACTTGGCACACAGAATTCCCATGACCAAGAGAAAATACTGGGAGGGTCTGGTGGACATTGACCTTGAGTTTTTGGAGTTGTAGTTCACCTACACCCAGAGAACACTGTGGACTCAAACAATGGTGGATCTGGACCAAACTTGGCACAAATACTCAATATGCCCAAATGTGAACACTGGTGGAGTTTGGGGAAAATAGACCTTGACATTTGGGAGTTGTAGTTGTTGGGATTTATAGTTCACCCACAATGAAATAGCATTCTGAACCCCACCAATGATAGAATTGGGACCAAACTTCCCACACAGAACCCCTATGACCAAAGAAAATACTATGTTTTCTGATGGTCTTTGGCGACCCCTCTGACACCCCCTCGACCCCCACAGGGGTCCCGACCCCCAGGTTGAGAAGCACTGACTTAGATGATGTTTTCCTCCCTGGCAGAAGGGGGCTGGACTGGGTGGCTCTGGCATCCCTTCCAACCTGAGCAGTGCCCCCCTGCCCTATGGGGCTGCCCCCGACTTACGCTGTGGTACTCATGCTGGCTGTCCAGGCACCCGCAGTCACGCGCAGAGACACAGGTGTCATCACTGAGGACGTAGCCCCGGTTGCAGGTGCATCCCTCCACGCAGGTAGTGCGGCTCTGGCATGCGGCCGGCGCATAGAGGTTGCAGCAGGTGGCCGGGCAGGGAGAGGCGCACTCGGTGTAATGGCTGTGCGGGGGGCAAGGCAGAGCTGGAGGGAAGGAAGGCAGAGCAGAAGGAGCGGGGGTCAGCTATTCGGGCAGGAGGGAGCACACTTGGGCCCTCCCCCAGGTGTTTTGGACTTCAACTCCCACAATTCCTAACAGGCAAACATTTGAATGCTTAATGTTTTCTCTTTTAAAACAATTGTGTTTTATAAAATCTTGAACTTATCGTTGCATTAATGCTCGGATATAGTTTTCAATGTTTACTGTTTTAAATACGTTGTTAGTGTTGGAAATAACAACCTTCTTCAAGCCTCCTCTAGGAATTTGTTATGTGTATAATTCAGATTGCTCACTGGATTGTATGATGTGTGTATTGGTTAGCAGTTTTCCTTAACTCGATGTTGTGGGAGGGGCTTCAAATCATGCGATCAGATCTGGGGCAGTAAAACAACAGAGAGTAAACAATCAGGCACATCTAATCACCTCTCAACAAACCATGAAAATGAACACAATCTGGCTACCAGTATTAAAAAACTCTAAAATTGCAACAGCACAACAACAGAGAGGAAATAAACAAGGACATCTAATCACCTCTCAACAAAAGTTTCCCCCAGGCACTGCCAAGCCATCAAATGCTAATCAAGGTGAAACATTCACACCTAGCTCCAGTAGACAAGAGTCCTTTGTCCCACCCTGGTCATTCCACAGATATATAAACCCATTTCCTAGTTCCAACAGACCTCACTACCTCTGAGGATGCTTGCCATAGATGCAGGCGAAACGTCAGGAGAAAATGCCTCTAGAACATGGCCATATAACCCGGAAAAACCTACAACAACCCAGATCTGGGACTACTCAGGACTCAGACGCCATTTTAGAAACAGGATGCTTTAGAGACGCCATTAGACTCTCAGAACAGAGAGATGTTTTGGACTTTGGACTGTTGGTTCAAAGAAAGATGCCCTGTGTTATAAACACAAAACAACTTCCAATCCTATCTGTAACTAGACCAATATGCAATGAATCTGTATGCTGAATACATGAAGTTTGTGAGTAAACCAATTATGTTATTTTTAACAAAGTCTACTTTATTTTTGGTCTCTTGAGAACATGATTTAAATCAAGATGTTTTAAGGGAGAGTAGATGTTTTTTGGGCAACTGAAATGACACTATTGAAACCCTGATATATATGTTTTTAGTGCATTGGCATATCTTTGTTCCTAACAGTTCAAAGAGATATAGGTATATCAGTCTAACAGCTGAGAAACCTAATTGCCATGCATGAATGCTAGTGGATATTTACCACTAAGAAGTAGGCTTGGGCAATCCATGGTTCTAAATGGTTCTAAAGTACTTACAAAACTAAAGTTCTGGTGGTGAAAATTTCAGAACTCTAACAAAACTCTCAAAATTTCATAATAAATGGCAGTTCCTAATTGGTTCTGTCATTAAAATCACCAATAATGAAATAATAATTAAATTTTGAAAGTTTTGTTAGAGTTCTGAAATTTTCACCACCAGAACTTTAGTTTTGTAAGTACTTTAGAACCATTTAGAACCATGGATTGCCCAAGCCTACTAAGAAGGTTGACTCAAATGAGTTTTTAACTGGGTTGTTGTAGGTTTTTTCGGGCTATGTGGCCATGTTCTAGAGGCATTCTCTCCTGACGTTTCGCCTGCATCTATGGCAAGCATCCTCAGCATTAGTGAGATCTGTTGGAACTAGGAAAAAGGGTTTATATATCTGTGGAATGACTAGGGTGGGAGAAAGGACTCTTGTCTGTTGGAGCCAGGTGTGTATGTCTCAACTGACCACCTTGATTTAGCATTTGATGGCCTGGCAGTGCCTGGGGCAATCTTTTGTTGAGAGGTGATTAGATGTCTCTGATTATTTTTAACTCTTCTCTGGAAGATCATACTTTTCACAAGGTTATGATCTCTAACAAGGTCATGTCTTTCCAAAAGATTCCTAGCCATTTTCCAAAATGTTATCTCCCATTAGTGGGAGAAAGGCAGGGATTAAATGAATAAGAGAATAACAAAGATAACACTATGTGACACCATTTTTGTTCCTGGGTGATCAATATCCTTTCTTAACTGGTTCTGTCACAGAAACATGGAAAAGCTTTGTTAAACTGCAAACACTTTGTTTTTGCGGGACATCCTGCAGCACATTTTGCTCTAGTTTTTCAATGAATATCTCATTGAGTCTCAACCAATTCAACCTAGTTTGTGGCAGCCACAAAAACAAAGTTTCTGGAGTATAACAACTACTTTCAAAGTAAGTACCACAATTAAACAGGAAATAACACTTTCAAACCAGGAACAGAACATTTTTCAAATTTGGTTACACAATGTAATGCAACTTCCGGCATCCCCCAGCTGTCATGGTCTGAACTCAAGAACGGAAAAAGGAATGTTGGTGGACAGGAAAAGAGATTTAAAGATGGGCTCAAAGCCAACCTTAAAAACTCTGGCATAGACTGAGAACTGGGAAGCCCTGGCCCTTGAGCCCTCCAGTTGGAGGTCAGCTGTGACCAGCAGGGCTGCAGAATTTGAAGAGGCATGAATGGAGGGTGAAAGAGAGAAACGGGCCAAGAGGAAGGCACGTCAAGCCAACCCTGACCGGGATCCCTTCCACCTGGAAACCAATGCCCTCACTGTGGGAGAAGATGCAGATCAAGAATAGGGCTCCACAGTCACCTACGAACCCACCAGAATACTGATCCTGGAAGACTATCCTACCCTGCCAACGAGGGATCATCTAAGTAAGTAAGTAAGTCATGGTCCATAGCTACGTGGGTTGGGAGATGCTGGGAATGTTAGCCCAAAATCCATAGAATATATTAGAAAAGACTCGCTGTGTCTCCTATACTAAAATGCTCTTCATTTGCCATATTCTTCCTGTCAGGAGTATTGAAAGTATGCATGTATGTTTTTTCAATATGTTTCTATATGATTAAGAATGGTGTTTCTCATACAGTAAGGGAATGCTCAAGATCCTGCAAGGAAGACTCCAGCAAGACATGGAGCGAGAGTTGCCAGATGTTCAAGCTGGGTTTAGAAAAGGCAGAGGAACGAGAGACCAGATTGCCAATATCTGCTGGATAATGGAGAAAGGCAGGGGTTTCAGAAAAACATCTATTTCTGCTTCATTGACTATTCTAAAGCCTTTGACTGTGTGGATCATAATAAATTGTGGCAAGTTCTTGGTGGGATGGGCATCCCAAGCCCCCTTGCCTCTCTCCTGAGGAATCTGTACAAGGACCAAGTAGCAACAGTCAGAACTGACCACGGAACAGGAGACCGGTTCAAGATTGGGAAAGGCGTCCGGCAAGGCTGCATCCTCTCACCCAACCTTTTCAACTTGTATGCAGAACACATCATGTGAGGATGTGCGGGGCTGGATGAATGCAAAGCTGGGGTGGAAATTGCTGGAAGAAACATTAACAACCTCAGATATGCAGATGACACCACTCTGATGGCCGAAAGCGAGGAGGAGCTGAGGAGCCTTCTAATCAAGGTGAAAGAAGAAAGCGCAAAAGCCGGGTTGCAGCTAAACATCAAAAAAACCAAGATTATGGCAACAAGAATGATTGACAACTGGGAAATAGAGGGAGAAAATGTGGAGGCCGTGACAGACTTTGTATTTCTAGGTGCAAAGATGAGTGCAGACGCAGACTGTGGCCAGGAAATCAGAAGACGCTTCCTTCTTGGGAGGAGAGCAATGTCCAGTCTCGATAAAATAGTGAAGAGACATCAGACTGGCAACCAAGATCCATTGCCTAGTCAAAGCCATGGTCTTCCCTGTAGTCACCTACGGATGTGAGAGCTGGACCTTAGGGAAGGCTGAGCGAAGGAAGATCGATGCTTTTGAGCTGTGGTGCTGGAGGAAAGTTCTGAGAGTGCCTTGGACTGCGAAAAGATCCAACCAGTCCATCCTCCAGGAAATAAAGCCCGGCTGCTCATTGGAGGGAAGGAGATACTAGAGACAAAGTTGAAGTCCTTTGGCCACATCATGAGGAGACAGCAAAGCCTAGAGAAGGGAATGATGCTGGGGAAAGTGGAAGGCAAAAGGAAGAGGGGCCGACCAAGGGCAAGGTGGATGGATGGCATCCTTGAAGTGACTGGACTGACCTTGAAGGAGCTGGGGGTGGTGACGGCCGACAGGGAGCTCTGGCGGGCTGGTCCATGAGGTCACGAAGAGTCGGAGACGACTGAACAAATCAACAACAAAGAATGGTGTTCGTATGTATTCAAGATGGATTCTGTTATGTTCAATTATGTGTTGGAATTGTTGTTGTAAAAGACAGAGAGGTAGAGAGAGAAGAGACCTTGACAGAAGTTAGATAAAGAATTTCTCTGCCTGGGAAGAAAAAGGGAGTTTCCAGCTTACAGCCAGAGAGCCTGATAAGCAGATGTTCTGAAACTGTACTGAAGCTGTGCTTTGTAGTTCCTGATTTTGCCTGCTTAGAAGTAGACGTGTATTGAGATGTACTAGGTAAAGTTTATGTTATTTTGGAAACTGGAAGACTGCAGTGTCCTGATTTGTGTCTGTGTGATCTAGTAACCTCATTCTTTTCCAGGTCCTTCCCACCCTCTGGGCTCCTTACGGCAGAAGGTGCTGTTCCTCCAGGAGAGTCCAGTGACCCCTTGGCTCTTGCAGGCCTCCACGTAGGACTGGACGTTGTCGCACAGGACGGAGGCCATGCCATCGTACTCGCACAGGTCGAAGAGGCAGTTCTGGACAAAGAGCTGAGGGTTGATGACCCCGTGGCAGGGCTGGTACTTGGGCCCCAAGATCTCTCCACACAAGGCGGACAGGCGCTCCATCTCTGCTGGGGAGCAGTGGGGCTCCAGGTCCTCGCGGTCATCTGGCTGGCAGCTAAAGGCAGAGCAAGACAACAAGGAGTCAGAGGGGGGAAAGGCACCTGGAGAGCTGGGGCTTGGGAGCAGGTGAGTTTAGTTGTATGTATAGGTAAAAGTAAAGGTTGTCCCCTGACATTAAGTCCAGTTGTGTCCGACTCTGGGGTGTGGTGTACATCTCCACATCTAAGCCTGGTTACATCCCGTATAGACTACTGCAACGCTCTCTGCGTGGGGTTGCCTCTGAAGACTGCCTGGAAGCTACAACTAGTCCAACATGTGGCAGCCAGATTACTAACAGGAGCGGGGTACCGGGAGCATACTACTCCTCTGCTGCGTCAGCTCCACTGGCTGCCAATCGGCTTCCGAGCACAATTCAAAGTGCTGGTGTTGACCTATAAAGCCATAAACAAAACCGGCCCAGTTTACCTGTCTGAACGGATTCTCCCCTATGAACCATCGAGGTTGTTAAGATCTTAAACAGAGGCTGGATGGCCATCTGTCAGGGGTGATTTGAATGCAATATTCCTGCTTCTTGACAGGAGGTTGGACTGGATCACAGGAGACACAATCTCATATATTAAAAGGCTTCAACGAGGGTAACAGAAAGAGGCCTTTCCAGCTGAGACTGTGTTTGGAAGAGCAGGGTTCTACCTGGCAGGCCTTCCCTCCACAACTGCCTTCTTCCCTCCACAACTCCTCACCCAGGGTCAGCATCTCCGGGGGCTTTCCAGCTGTTCCCAAACTGGCTGTCATTGGCGGCCAGGTGTCCGTTCGGCATCAGAAGGTCATCTTGGGACTGGTTGTTGAAGTTGCCACACATGCCACACACCTGGGAGAGAAGGGGAGGGGAGGGTCTTTTGAGGGTCACCTTTCCAAGGGAGGAGCTTCCACCAAAACATTGGGAGAAGTGGGTTGTTGTCGGTTTTTTCAGGCTATATGGCCATGGTCTAGAGGCATTCTCTCCTGACGTTTTGCCTGCATCTATGGCAAGCATCCTCAGAGGTAGTGAGGTCTGTTGGAACTAGGAAAAGGGGTTTATATATCTGTGGAATGACCAGGGTGGGACAAAGGACTCTTGTCTGCTGGAGCATGGTGTGAATGTCTCAACTGACCACCTTGATTAGCATTTGATGGCCTGGCAGTGCCTGGAGCAATCTTTTGTTGAGAGGTGATTAGATGTCCTTGTTTGTTTCCTCTCTGTTGTTGTGCTGTTCTAATTGCTGGACCACTCTCACAACCACCACGTCAGACTACACAGAGAAGCCATTGAAGTACACAAGCACATGGACAATTTCAACAGAAAGTAGGAAACCATGAAAATGAACAAAATCTGGCTACCAGTATTAAAAAAACTCTAAAATTACAACAGCACAACAACAGAGAGGAAACAAACAAGGACATCTAATCACCTCTCAGCAAAAGTTTGCTCGAGGCACTGTCAGGCCATCAAATGCTAATCAAGGTGGTCAGTTGAAACATTCACACCTAGCTCCAGCAGACAAGAGTCCTTTGTCCCACCCTGGTCATTCCACAGATATATAAACCCTTTTTCCAAGTTCCAACAGACCTCACGACCTCTGAGGATGCTTGCCATAGATGCAGGCAAAGCGTCAGGAGAGAATGCCTCTAGACCATGGCCATATAGCCCGAAAAAAACTACAACAACCCAGTGATTCTGGCCATGAAAGGCTTCGACAATACATTGGGAGAAGTGTCTTTGCTCTAAGCAGGTATGGGCAAACTTTGGTCCTCCTCCAGGTGTTTTGGACTCCAACTCTCACAATTCCTAACAGCCGGTAGGCTGTTAGGAATTGTGGGAGTTGAAGTCCAAAAGACCTGGAGGGCTGAAGTTTGTCCATGTCGAACTAATGGCTTTTGGTGACTCCATGACTTTTGCAGGGTGTTCTTCGGCTACTAACCTTCAGAGGCATTTCTGTCATCCCTTCTTCCAAACAATGATTCTCCCACCCATGGACTAACCCGGGATGACCCTGCTGAGCTTCCAAGATCAGGCAGGAAATGGTCCCTCAAAGGTGTTGAGGCCACCAGGACTGTATGTACCTTGTCGAAGTAAGTCCCCGGGAGCTGGATCTCCAAATGATGGTTCCCATCGAACTTCATCACCAGACCAAAGTCGGTCTCCAGAATGACATAGATGCCGCTGGAGGTGATGGAGACGCCTGGGATGCGTCCCTCCACGGGGGTCCGGACCCGTTGCCCATCGATCTGCAATCAGAATTGAATAGTGAAATGCTACAAACCTCCCTGCTGGGCCGCACTGTGTTTTGAAACTGGCATGAAACCACTTTAAAGTATCACAGTCAGAAGTTGTGAGGTTTGTTAGAAACTAGGGAAGTGAGGTTTATATATCTGTGAAATAATGTCCAGGGTGGGGAAAAGAACTCTTGTCTGTTGGAGGCAGGTGTGAATGTTACAATTAGCAAGCTTGATTAGCACTGAATGGCCTTGAAGCTTCACAGCCTGGCTGGTTGCTGCCTGGGGGAATCCTTTGTTGGGAGGTGTTAGCTGGCCCTGATTGTTTCTTGTCTGGAATTCCCCTGTTCTTATGTGTTGCTTTTTATTTACTGTCCCGATTCTAGAGTTTTTAAATACTATACAGTTTTCTTTGTAGAGGATTGATTGCATTATACAGATTGTGCTGACACGCGCTGGGCCTATAGCAATTGTCTTTTAAAATGGGACACCGGGGTGCCTCGGCTGAGAGGCCCTATGGATTTTCCTAAACAAAGTCTTTAGAAACTTGGAAAGTTTAACAAAGTTCTTTATTATTGCTTAGATYTTCMACAAARCACWYAMATTYTTCTTAACTTGYCCACAAAGGACWGGCAGCTTSCTTBRTGAASTMTTTMTTTCTTTTRCAWGRWAAAHYCTCYRACCYCYYCYTGGKCAAYCKGTYTTTRGVBTKDCTGGYRTGGRGRCCYTMCT